TGTGTGTGTGTGTGTTTATGTGTGTGTGTTTGTATGTTTTAGAACAAAATAAGAAAAAAAGATGAGAAAAAATAATTACAATTCGATATCCTGCACAAAAGTATAACGAAACATATTTTTTTTCTTTGAAAAATCTTGCTGCGACGTTAGCAGAGAGTGTTCTGTTTTAATCGGTTCATCCCTTATTGGATGATTATCCCGTTTATTAATCGTCCATTTCCGTTTTTCTTAGGAAAAAAAAAATTAAGGAAGAAGACACGCGATCGTAGCGAAGAAAAACGATGCAATTTAAACTTTCTCTCTCTCTCTCTCTCTCTCTCTCTCACACACACACACACACACACTCACTCTTTCTTTCTTTCTTTCATTCTCTCTCTTTCTTTGTCAATCTTTCTTATCACAGTAGATAATTATTACTGTAGTACGAAATTCACTCTCTCTCTCTCTCTCTCTCTCTCTCTCACACACTTTATCTTTCTTTCTTTTTCTCTCTCTCTGTTGCTGCTCTCCGAAATTGAGCGGGCGTGTTTTCTTATAGTTTTATATATATATATAAAACACAAAAAAAGAAAAAAAAGGAAAAAAACGCGAGCTCGGGAGAAGACGCAGTAATATACTGCGCTCTCTTTCCTCTTTCCTAAAGATGTGGTTGTTTTGCACCAGGAAGGAAGATGAGAAGGCACAGTGTATTTACAAATTACAATGATCGTCGTTAAGAATATATAATATGTACACATCACCCTAAACGGCATAAAATTAATAAATTTTGCCGGGCGCGGGGGGATTTCTCTCTCCGTTTAGAAATACAGATCTTATTTATAAGACGTCTCCCGGTCCTGTTTATTTTTACCGATTCCTCGTTCCTCCAATTTTACAAGAGAAAAAAAGAAAGAAAGGAAAAGAAAAGAAAGTTCATCTCCGTTGTTTAATCCGTGGTCGGACAAAACTTATTATTCGATTGGATGGTTGAAAAATGTTTTCTTTCTTTTCTTTTCTTTTTTTCTTTTTCTTTTTCTCCTTTTAGATCTTGAAATGAATTGTTCTTTCGACCAGATTTAAGAAATAATTTACGAGGACGAGTTATGAGGAAGAAACGGACTGTGTAAAATGAGAATAAAATTAACGAGGGTTGTAATAATCCTCGCATGATCACTCGCGGATCACCTACACGGCGCTAAGAGAACTTCGAGCCAACAGGGACAAGAGGTAACCTCCTGTCTCGAGTATTTGGGTCCCCAGCCTTTAGCGAAGCTGATTCGGACGGAGTTAATGTCGACAGGGCCGGATGAAAAACCGGAAGCTGCATTGTTATTGTTCCTCGAATTGCACCCTGGTCCGGTGTAAGAAGAAGGAAGCTGGATTACTTTGGCTCGGTCAAAGATGTTCAAGCAAAAGCCCGGTGGCACTCGGTAGACCAAGAGAGTTCGCGATTCCGGATCGTCTAGGGTCGGTGAGTTCACGAAGATCGGACTCTCCGATCTGTTGTACGCCCACACGCCGTCGGCTTCTTGGCTCAGCATGATACCTACGAAAGGATAACAGTATACGTGTGTTAAATAAGGATAGAAGAAGAAAAAGAGAAAGAGAAATATCGTTTGCAATAAGATACGATAAAGATCTCTAATCAATCAATCAATCGATCGTTTTATCGATCTATCGATCTTTTTCAAAGCAACAATCAAGACTTACCGAGACCGATCTTACTGCGTGTCTTTTGTACCGAGGGTGGTGCTACGTGATTCTCTGCTAACGTTGCCAAACAGAGACCATTGCCGTCGTGTAAAGAATCGAATACGTTAACGGTTAACGGTTCAACGGGGTAAAGACGACCAACTCTACCACCCAGTTCCCAATACGCTAACGTGCACCATTCCTTTTGGTCGGTCTCGCCTGGAAAAATAAATATATAACAATTTATTTAATTATATATATTCATTCGATATAATAACAAATTGTATATATATCCAAAATTCATTATTATGACGAAAATAATAAACGATCGACTCGGTCGGTAATGAAATTTCATAGATCCAATGATCTTTGAGATATTTTCTCGATGCATTCGACTCGGTCGATAAAGAGGCCATCTTAATAGATACGATCTCGTTGAAATGATCCTTACTTTGCGATAAAAATGTTAGTAGAACACACGTTTAAGGAATACGTGCATTTCAACGAACCGAGAGAGAGAGAGAGAGAGAAAAATAAAGAGGGAAAAGGAAAGAGAACTCGGAAAGTCCCACGCGTCTCGACTCGTTCGTTCATCGTGGGTAAGCAGCCGGCGCCAGCCAGATTCGAGACTAGACAAGACCGAACACGACGGAGAAAGGGGACGGAATTTGAACTGGGGGTTTGGGGAGAAGAGGACGAGAAGAGGAGGGCCAAGGAGGGCTGGAGGAGTAAACGTGGGATAAAGAGGGCTGAGGTTAAACGTGGGGGTAAGGAGGGACAAGAAGGTGGAGGTTGGAAGGTGCAGGTTGACGGTATGTGGGCAATCGTTACCTGCCTTCCGTTACCTAGGAATTTTTCCAACTTTTTCTTCTTCATCCATAAGTTCAAGTTTGTCAACGTTACTGCGCCATTTTCGACTTTATTATTATCATTTTTAATCCGACAAAAGTTCAACATATAGTTCTCTCGACAATAAGAATTAACTTTTCTTTTACTTTAAATTCAACACACGAGGGAAAGGGGGAAAAAAATGATCGCGATCTATGGAAGAAAACAAAAAATTTCAAAAAAGAATATGAAACGAACGATCGAAGCCTAGTGGCGCGCGCCATCTTTGATATTGTTAACGACCGATGGTAAAAACGATTTACCGACAATCATTTTTAAGAGTGACTCAAATTTAGGTGAATACTGTATATAATATAACGATCGTGTATATATATATATATATATATATATCTGTATGTGTAAAGTAATTTTAAAATTATACATATGTGTACATGCGCACACGCGCGCGTTTATGTGTGTGTACACGAGTTGTGTGCATAGAGGTAGAGGGAGAAAGAGAAATGTAAGAATAAATCTCTTGGAATTTTAGGAATGTACATTTAAAATACAGGATAATAAAAATCGTTAAATATCGATCGAGAATAGTGGGGAGATAGCGTGCAGAGATATAATTCGCGGGTATTATAACGTTATAAGATTTCGAGGTTATGGTGGTAGAAGAAAAAGTAGAAAGGAGAGGAGAGGAGAGGAAAGTAGAGGATAGATAGAGGAAGAAAGGACGAAAGAAAGAAGGAAAGAATGAGAGAGAGAGAGATGGTGTGTCGAATCTTTCTCTCTCTCTTTCTCTCTCTTTCTCTCTCTCTCTCTTTGCGTCGCGTAGAACTTGACGTGGGGTGAGGCGGGGTTCCTCTGCTTCCACCAGATAAAAATAGATATTACGAGTTTACCGCGGCGCCAAGATTGCGGGGTATCGCGACGATTACGTCATCGGTAGTAGCGCGAGTGGTTGGAGCAAGGACGCCTGTCGCGTCGCCCGTCGTCGTCGTCGTCGTCGTCGTCGTCGTCGAAGCCGTTGTTCTTGTTGTCATTGTCGTTGTCATTGTTGTCTTCGTCGTTTGCTTCGAAAGTTTTCGTCAATTTTTTGGTCGATTCGAATATGGTAAAAAAACAATATGGCCGCCGTTTAGAACTAAACCGCCGCCATATTGGAACTAACGAAAATTCGCAGCGTTAATTCGTTCCGAAATAAGTTTAATGCAAATTAAATTACGTTAATATAAGTAACGTTATTGCAAGAACTTTCGACGAATGACGAATTTTCTTTTAACGATCCTTCTCTCATTGGTGCTAGTGGTCTTTGACCAGAGATATGAACATTTTTCTCGAGGCGTAGTCGATAAAATATACGCGGATCATTTTCGAGCACTTTAACTTTGGCTACGTAAGAGTAATAATGCGTTTATTTACGTGTCTCTTTCTCTCTCTCTCTCTCTCTCTCTCTCTCTCTCTCTCTCTCTCTCTCTATTTAAGTATATACGTAAGATACATTGTAATGCGTTAGCGTATGTAAATAAGTAAATATTATACATAGTTTTGATTTGATGCAGTTAGGCAAGACTGAAAATTAGTAGGAACTAGTAGTTTTAATTTAAATTTAGTGCACAAAGGTTAAGTTAGTTTAATATATCGTTGCTTTCTTTCTTTTTCTTGTTCATTTTCATTTTCTTTTCTTTTATTTTCTTTTGGATTACGGTCGTTTGTCTTTTAACTATCCACCGAGATATAAACCGCCCACTTGGCTTTATAGAAATGAGGCGCGCCAGACGCTCGAGGGTAATAAGTGCTTGAACGATCGATCGTTGATCTAACGTCGCGTATCCCCGTCCAAGATCCATACACACACGAGTGTATACACGCACACACATGACATATATATATATATATATATATATATATAACCAACAAATACATATGCATAGATTTGTACTAAATCATATTATATTATTCTTGATGAAGAGATAATTATTTGGCAATAAAAATTCCCTGTGAAATTTGTAAATACGAGAGACGATTACAGAAAAAGAAGATGATGATGATGATGATGATTTTGTATGGTTTCGTAGGTGTAGAAAGAAATGAGTTATTCAAGAATAAATCCCATGATTCTAACGAAAAGATCATGGACACATCGAATTGCTCGCAACGTCTCGAAGATCTCAAGAAGTCGACCTTTCCTGTCGCATACCAATCGGCACGCAGCTTATATACGTAGTACTTACTTCATGGCAAGGTGTATCCTACATAACTATGTATGTATATATGTGTATGTGTGTGTGTGCGTGCGTAAATACACCATACCGATGGAGGGAAGAGAGAAAAAAATAAAAAATGTTCAGAGAAAAAGAGAGAGAGAGAGAGAAACACGCGACAGTGCCGGCTAAAGCATCTGTAGTCTCGTTTGGAATGCGATATGATCGTCGAATGTTGTCTCCTCTCGTTCAGGGATTACGAATTTATACCATACATTACATAGATATCTATGTGAATGTGTAGGTGTGTGTGTATATATGTATGTTTTTTTCTATGTTCCTTTTTTTCTTTTCATATTTTTTTTTTCCCCAAAGCGTGAGACGGCGGACAATCGATTAATTACGCGGACCTTCGGAGGATCTCGCGTGTCAAAGCTTCTTTCCTCGTATATAACCGAGAACGTAAAAGTCGTAAATTTAAGGTTATCGGATTAGATGGCTTCTCTTTCGATCTTCTACGTCACGCACGTCTTTTGCACTAAATATGGGAGAGGAGACCAACCGAAAGAAAGAGAGAGAGAGAGAGAGAGAGAGAGAGAGAGAGAGAGAGAGAGAGAGAGAGAGAGAGAGAGAGAATAGTAACCTGCGAATAAATTTGAATGGAGGTAAGAAAAAGAAGTTGCGATGTAAAATAAAAAGGGAAAGGGAAGAAGAAGAGAGATAGAGAAAGAGAGGGAGAGAGAGTGAATGATTGCTATGATTGCGCGAACTTTATCGATTGATTGGAAGAAGAGAAAGAGAAAGAGAGAAAGAGAGAGTATGTATTGTCGTCAAATATTTAATGTACATTCCACACTGGGGGATAGATGAAACTACCTATATAGAGAAACGTGTAAGAGACTATTTCTATTATATCTTCTGTTAACTGAAAAAGACGTTGGTAGAAGAGATAAGATCTATGAAAGAAGGGGAGGGAGGAAAACACGAACTTTTGTCGTTACAACTGTACGTTCGAAGAGGGTGATGGAACGGGGGGAGGATAGGATAGGGGAATGGGATAAAAGATTGAGGGAAACATAGATAGATTGGATAGAAAGATAGATAGATAGATAGATAGATAGAAAGAGAACACACGCTAGCATCGATCTTATTCCAAGTTTACTCTCTCTCTCTCTCTCTCTCTCTCTCTCTCTCTCTCTCTCTCTCTCTCTCTCGGTATATCGAGAACAAAGGACAATTGTGGACGAAGCTTTAAGGATATCGACGAGGAGAGAAAGACTCCCGGTCGTAGTAGTAGTAGTAGTAGTAGTAGCATTGGAGAGAATAAGTGAGTGACTGAGAGAGAGAGAGAGAAAGAGAGAGAAAGAGAAGGCAAAACGTAAAGCGTCGCGCGAGTGCCAATGTGTTTTCCCAGTTGGGTCAAACACCCTGAAGCTCTCTCAGCAGATAAGGTTCCCAACCTTGGCACGGCCAAGCAAAGTAAGTAGCTGCGTAACCGTAGGTGCCGCACTTACGACACACGTTGACTCTAACCGCACCGCACTTCATCGTACCGCACCGCACCGCACCGCACCGTACCGTACCGTACCGTATCGCACGGTACCGCACCACCAAAGAGTCTCACACACGACTATGCAAGAAATCGTGCGTGCTAAGAGCCATTAAACACGCGTCTCACTTTCTTAAACTAATACTACTATACATGCATAGATGTCAGATAGAAAAAAAAAAGAAAAGAAAAATAGTACAACAGAACGAGCTTGATGTATCTTATTCTACGACAAATTCGATATAATAATCCCCTTGCAAAATTAATAACGAAATTCTATTATGATAATAAGTTTCCCCAGGACCGCCCTCCATATTGTTTCGGCGCMATTTTGAAAAATGTTTCTCAATTTTCCCGAGAGAGAGAGAGAGAAAAAGAGAATAACATATTATATATACATATGTGTGCTTGTTTATATGTATGTTAATGCAAAATAATCCTTTCTTGAACCACCCACGAAGCTTATTCTATCGAGCGAGGCATCGTTAATTACCGTGGCAGGTAATAAACACGCTTGGACATGACACGAGCGGAGGAGAGCAATCGTGCGCGCGCGTGCGCGCGCACCTAACAGCACGTCAACGCAAAACGCATACGCGGGAAACGCAAACGGGAAACCAAGTTTACTACTA